GGAAATGCTGCAAGATCAGTGGAAGCTTCTTACGAAATTGGACTGGCCGCCTCCGTCGACTTTGAATTGCCGAAGATTCCGACGACTCCAGGAGTCATTGACAACCCGCAAGTGCCACCAGAGAGTTGTGTATATATCGCGAAGCAACGATATGCGCCTGTCAAGCTGGAACCAGGAAGACCTCAGTTCAGATTGACGCGGATGAAGGGAACGCATGAACTTTTCGGCATCAACCTTGAGAAGAGTCCTGGCCTTTTAGACGTCCAATTCGAGGTAAGCTTTGTATGACATAGAAGAAGCTTCATAGACGATATCTGTATGTTATCCCAGGGCATGGAGGGCCTCGTGCAGTTGTACGGGCCGTTTGGCCTAGACAGTGACCATCTTCCACACTTTGACGTCGATGGAAAACCGATTGAAGGCGATGCGGAAGCCCAGCTGAGTGCTCGACTGCATATCGCAACGAGCGAGGGCTGCTGCAAGAGCATTGGGACGGGCGTGGCGAGCCTGGTTACGCCTGGAAGATATATCGTGCTGGTATTCCACTGCGCAGTAGGGCATCGTGAGCACCAGCCGTACAAGGTGACATGTAGGTTTGATGAGACGAAGAAGGTTCGAGAAATGCAGATCGGCCTGACGAACAAGGTGGAGCCGGGCGCCGGAGGAAGCACGAATGCGCTCTATCGCATCTGCACGCAGGATGGGCAGGCTCTGGTGACGCAGGACGGCGATATGTTTGAGGTGGATGTCGAGACGGATGATCCGGGATCACAGAAGCAAGTGCGCGTTGGTGTTCTTGCATACAGTGCTGAAGATATTTTGGGTGCGGCAAAAGACGGCTCGGACTCGGTGAGATATGTGGCGTACACCGACGCGTTCTGGGGCGAGTCCCGGGTGCGCTTTGGTGTGGCGGGAAACCAGGTTTGTGCTACCGTCGGGCAAGACATAATGTGCTGATGAATGAACAGGTCCTCTTTGTCCGCGTCCGCGCCCAGCACCCAACGGGAATGAGGGCAGCAATAAGGCGTCTCTGATTGGACTTCTCAAATAGACACCCACCGATTGGGCCATTAGTGACGTGACGTCACGGGTGACTTGTGCTTTGTAAATTCTTAAAAGTAGGCGGCCGATAGCAATGAGAAGCCCAATCCGCGCCACCATGTCTGTCCACTCAACTTCCTCAGCTTCCTCCACACCCACCGCCGTCCTTCTCCCGCCCCGCCCAGAAACCCTTACAAAAAACAAAAAGCCTCCAGTCTGGCCGATAGATGACGCTGCTTCGGGCGTGCAGCCACCGACTGCAGCAAAGTGCGCTAGAAACGCCCGCGAAGATGGTGTTTGCTGTAAAGACCTTATCCCTGTGGAACGCACACTAATCGACCCAGATGTTGTTCGCGATGTGTGAGTTCACCATTCTCATGGCTCGTTTGTCTTGCATACTTATACATCCAATCAGTGTTATTGGCCTATCAGACGGCTTGACGGTCCCCTTTGCGCTTACAGCCGGCCTATCCTCACTAGGTGAATCCAAGCTCGTCGTCCTCGGCGGCATCGCCGAGCTCATTGCTGGTGCAATCTCCATGGGAATTGGCGGCTTCCTCGCATCGCAGGCAGAACGCGACCACTATCGTTACCTACGCAAGCATACCTCACAACGTGTCCTCCACAGTTGCGCCGGCGAGATGGAGCGTGAAGTTCTCGAGGTTCTGGGACCTATAGGTGTTGACGACAAGACGTGTCGTGCTGTGGCGGAATCTCTACGCAATGTGGAAGGCGGGACGCACGGCGATGGATGTCGGAATGGGCACCCCGCTAATGACGAAGAAGCTCCTGGGCTGCGGTGGAGTAAGGATATTGGTCTAACTGCGTTTTTGGTCAAGTTTGGTCAAGGTTTGGGTGCGTGGTCTTCTTTGCCTTGGATCCTTCATTCGTTGTCTGGTCGGCTGACTGTTCTTTGTTCTTGCAGAGGAAATTCCAGACAAACGCATGTATGTTTCAGCGTTCACCATCGGCATGGGCTACCTCCTCGGCGGTATCATCCCCCTCCTCCCCTACTTCTTCATCCCAAAGGCACACGTCGCCCTAATATATTCATCTATTGTCACCGGCGTTATCCTCCTCATCTTTGGCGCCGTGAAGTCACGTGTGACGGGCGCAGCTCAAAAGCCAAGCGATTATGTCTGGGGCGCATTTAGTACGCTGATGGTCGGTGGACTAGCGGCTGCTGCTGCATTTGGTATCGTCAGAGCACTGGAAGGGAGCGATGGAAACTTTTAAGCTTTCTTATCCACGCCACCCTTTTTCGCGTTTCTTTTCCTCGTCATTTCATTTTGTCGTATGCCATATATCCATTTTTCCTGGCTCCCCTTTGACTTATATCATTGTGCATGACTCTGTAAATAATACTGCATCTTCTCTAGCATTTGGTTCTGGAATCTGTACATACGTAGCACATTATAATGACTCCTGTATTTCGTATGCCTAAAAGTTGACTCGTCATAGACTTTAGTAATTACAACTTTGTTCGTGGTAGCAGGACAATGGCCTCATCATGGGCGCTTAAATTGTAAGGCTGGGCTACCTTGGCGTCATCTTCCTTCAAAATGCATTATCGTCGAGCCTACAGATACATGGTACGAAGAAACATCCCATGTTTCTCTAAATCGGGTTTCGGAATTATGAAATACGATTCTTCATTGACCGATTGAAGAGTAAAGAAAGTAGGCTGTGGAGTATACAGCATGCGGAGTTTTGACGTATCTGAAAGAATATCTTCCAGGTCAAATGACAAATGCAGTTCGACGGGAATTAGAGCTTTTGCATAACAAAGACTGTCGCGGGGAGCTATCTCTACTGTTGTTGCCGTTTCGTAGAAATTGAAGACGGCAAAGAATAGAACAGCTTCGCGCCGGATTGTGCTGGAAATGGGCTTCTCGTAGATGCATGATTCCAGGAGGCTGAATGTACCTGAAGTAATATCGTTATTGGGATTTAAGAAGTTCTCTGTGATGGTACCGAAGTATCTTCCAATGGGACGTGATTCATCAGGTAAATTAGTTATGGATATTCCGGGAATTAGAAGAACAGAGACGTGGAGGCCTAAATGTGTAAGTGTGATTGGAGTAGTGGAACGCTGCCAGAGTATGGGTTTACTCCATAGGAATTGCTTTGGGCTCAGAGGAACGAGAGAACTCGCGGTTATTCGACCAGACCTTTCTGCAGACTTTTCCGATGGATACTTGTTGCCATATCCGAAGTTCATGATGTCCAGGGTGTCATGTTTAGAGGCGATTATTTCTTTAATAAGTCGTATGAATGCCAATTGAGGACCCTCTCCGTATGCCGTGGAAATGCTAACGCCAAAGATTCCCATTAAAGAGTACGCGGTATCTTCTGCACGCGTCACTCTTCGATTTGCGGCCCACTGCATCCTACGTGAAATTGGAATATCCAGCAAATTCATTGTTAGCTCGTCCTTAACGATTGTTGTTGCTGCTTGTATCTCCCGTAGAATGTCCTCGTCTTCTAGATCACCTTTCCAGTGAGAGTGTATCTTCTTCCACTCCGCATTGTAAAATTTGGTGTAGGATGGTGCAAGAAGTTCTTGAAGGGTCCAACCGCGTGTAAACCAGGTATCATGTCGCATGTTGTCGACAGTCATGATGTCTGCGAGATGCGTGACGCAGACTTCAGCATAAGAGTACCATTTGAACATCGACCGGATCGATTCATCGAGCTCCGAGCTGCTCTCCTTGTTTATGCAGATTGTATCCATCCACCCTAGAGTGACTCCATAGTCGATTGCGGCGACCCTGCAAAAATTAGCCAGCTTTTGGTATCCTCGCGAGCTCTTGTCGACCTTGGTGGGTTTCCAGTCAGCATATGTCACCTCCCCGGGGGTATCTTGGATCCAGGTATGAGACAAAATGGCGAATTTGGAACACGAGGAATTAAATTCCTGGATGGCTTCCTCCTCGCCACCAAGTTCGGCCGTCTGAAAGTCAAACTTGGTGGAAAAATCTCGTTTCATTCGTATACAGATACGCCGCCAGGTTTCGTTTCTCTCGATTAGCTCGATCTCCGAGCCTTTTTCATTGAAAGCTAACAAACAAATGGGAAAATCGTTGAAGATGTTGGTTCGCATAATAGCCATAGCTCGCTCCAAAAATGGTTGGCTGTGGGATGGCGCTAGTAAAATATGACATGAACACTAACGTGCGTATTAGCAAATATACGAGCACTTACAATGATGTACTATCAAAGTGTTGACCGGAGAATCTGAATCTGAAGCTGGGTAAATTTCCTGCTCTGCAGGTGTCCTGTCTGTGAGGGGTATTTTCGGTTAGAAACCGTATGAGCAATTGAACGAATGATAGCCGCAGAAGTCGTCTTTTTTTCATACCTGGCCCGGGCGCTAAGGATCTGGTCTGAATGATTGGAACGACAAAGTTCTCCAGAGATTTGATGAACACTGCAGCTGCATCACTTATAGAAACACGAACTTTAGTCGCGAAGTAAGCCGACGATTGTGTTCAAGTCGAGAAAACGATGCAGGCTTACAGTCTTCCCCGACTTCGACGGTCGCAATCTCAGAGACAAGTCGTCGAGAAGAACCACTCATGGACAGTCCGTTGACTGGAAGAGCTGAAAGCGAGGACATCTTAGAGTATCGCAATGTTGAGCTCGATGATAAGAACAAGGAATGAAGCTCTGGTTGGCTACGAGCGGACTTTAGCTGGATATTCTATTCTTAGATGCTCGCCCGGTTTCGAATTCACAGCCTATACATAATCATGATAATGTACTCGTACTCCGGTTCTAGGACACCAGAGGGCACCTTACCCAAAGTTTTGGACCAGAAAGGCCGCTCTACAATAACAAATATTTTGTTGCACATTTAGGCAATCGCTTTAACTTACTTCATGATTTTATTGAGAGCTCTAAAAAGATAACGCACAAACAAGTGTGCGCATCACAAAAATGTCGGTCTTCGCAGAAGACTGCCCCAGTGAGGCTCGAACTCACGACCTTCCGATATCACAACCATTTAAGTTTAACAGTCGGACGCTGTAACCAACTCAGCCATGGGGCACGATGAATATGTTTTAATTTAAAAAACTATTCTGTATGAGCAGTAGACAGTATAAATGTTGTCAAATCCTCGGCCTGTCCTACCATAAAATCTGAAGGCTTAGCACTAAAATCGACACAAGAAATGAAATCATAGTATGTATGAGAAAGCTTAAGCCTGGAATTGTGGAGTTTCCTGTCCACGACACGCTCGGCGAAGCTTGCGTTGTGCGATTATGCAAATCAGCCAGCTCAGAATCTGGAAACACAACCTTTCAAGTGCGTTGAATATAATACAAATGCAGTACTGTACAAACTCCTGGTCACCATCCAAAGAAGGTCGAAAATAATAAGAATGGAACCGTCCCCTTCCACCGGAATGTCGAATGTAATAATAATAGTGGATCAAATACAGACGCGTTACACTTCGCGTCGACGACTGTTGGCGAAGGTCGCGCGACAGAGTAATGGCGTCTAGATCCTAGAGATGGAGACGTAAGCATGTAGTCGAACGAAAAGAGAAAGAAAGGAGGTACGGACAATAAATGGACTGGGTCTGAGCTGGCAACGTGCGAGTGAAGCACTCAAGCAACGATGCAATAGGTGTTTCCGCTGCCTCCGCTACCCTCCTCGTTGGTGGGGATGGACTCGCTCTGGGAGACGACACAGTAGGTGTTGCCGTTGCTGCCTCCGCCCTCTTGGTCGGCGGGGGTGTCGACGACGATGAGAGTGGTGGTGAAGAAGGTATCCATTTGCAGTTGGTGTATTGGGCGGGGCAGTTGCTTGGATGCGACTGAAGACAGGATGTGCCCTTCGGTATCTTTTTATACCTGAGGAGGCTTGGTACATTTCTGCGATTGGATTCGGGGTCGGCCATGAGCATATGTATTGCGTATGTATTGGAGGTGAATTAACTGAATTGGCGTGCGTATGATGAGGGTCCAAATCCTACCTCGAAACAATGTCTTCTCTGAAATAAGGTATATGGAATTTCAGAACAATAACCGGAAATTAAAAATCAACAGGCCTACGCACATTTTTTTGTCGTAGGAAGACGACAGAGATGCTGAATTCAGAAGCCAATATTCGAGATTCTGTACTTAGGGAGAATTAGGCTGGGCTTTTAGATGGTTGGGGCTCGTAGAACAATAAATGATCCGCAAATGCTGGCCTCCAGGACCAGTCGAGTGACGTCAGCAATACTTTCGGAGGCATATTAGGAGTTCAAGTAATTGCTATGAAAGGTAATGATTTGAATTACGGTGCCGAGCCGTGCTTATTGTCTTTGCGCTCTTGTATCCTATTTGCCGACGAAAGCGTAGATCATTGCAAATAGCAGTACCTGGGCGGTCGATTCCTGGAGTCTATAGTCGCCGCAATGTCGTATTTGAATGCACGACCGCAGAAATAACTGAATAACATGACAGGTTGGAGTCAGAATACATAAGTTAGAGATATGAATAACAGACCACCGAGCTGCCTGTTTTGCATTTCCTTATTGTTGGAGATTTATATAGTTTCCTTGGGACAATAAATTCAATTCGGAGGACGGAAGAGACAGAAAGGTTTCGAGATCGATAACAAGAAGCGCAATAGGTTACACATTGGAGAGAACTTGGCTGCGTAGAATGTAGCAGAAAACCAACGATCGATCTTGATCAAGGCAGAACTTGGCGTCGCGGTGACTGAAGTGGTCTGAGCATCGATCCTGAACCTCATAAGGGGAAATGAGACCTCGTCGTTTCCAGCAACGCTTTTGATTTGGTTTTGAGGACTTTTTCGGGTGATTTTCTACAAGAAAGGTCAAGAAATGGTAAGGTCACGATACATATAGAAAAGCTCGTTACCACTCAAGCCACGTACCTTCAAGCTCAGACTGTCTGAATGGGGAGGTTTTGGTATCGTATTCACAAGAGGATCTGTCGGGGTTCGGAAGATCAAACGGATTGCATTGAGTTGGTAAAACAATAAGCGGTGAAGCTCTGGAGCTTTGAAGGTGTTGACAGGAGGATCTCGGAGACGGAAAGGACTGGCAACAAAAAAAATACAAGAGCGTCCAAGGTGTTAAAATTCAAGAACAAATAAGGGGATTGTAAGGATGGTCCTTACATCACCATATATAGATCCCGAGTGCACGACTGATGACCAGTCGTTCACCCTGCCTTTTGGCGCAGCGGCTTGAGCGCGGGATCTCTCATGTCCGTCTTGCAGGGATCTCGTTAACGTTTGGTCGTCGCGTTACATCGAGCGAGTGCTCAATGCATACGACTCTGGAGTGACCGGGATTGTAAATCAGCAAGTGCCAAGCAGGCTCGGCTTCGACCTGTATACTTTGTTTGATGCGGCCGCGAACTTCCGAGTTGGCATCTTTCTAAACGAGTCAACATTGAGTGAGTTTTCTTGAGGTTTATAAATTTGACTGCCAAGTTTGTGGTCGAAGTATGTATGTACAACCCAGGCGGTTGAGAAACAATATCGATCTGCAATGTACACATGACATCGTCATAATTTCTCGATGCTGGAACAATGGAAGTAGTGAAAGCTTTCACTCGTGAAAACTGTCATGTTGTTACAACTTACCGCAAACCTTTTGGCTAACATCCAGCCATTTGGAAATAAATGAATTATCCATGTTAGTTTGGAATTACAGATCGAAAAGTATAACAATACAGAGAGCTTTAACGCGGTAAGAAAACAGGAGCACAACAAGTAGTTGAGAAACCGTACGCAGTAGTGGAAGAGGAGGAAGAAACAGAAAACAAGGAAAAAGAGAGAAGAGAAAGATATGTGGGACGTAGTAGACAGTGGTCAGCCATGATAGAGCAAGAAAAACCAAGCGATGCTTGAGACGAGCTATACAAATTGAGACTATGATTTTGCAGCGTCCGAAGAAGATGCTTCTGCAGCAGCGGCAGCAAGACGATCGTTAACGCGCTGGCGGTGCTGGCGGTTTTTCAGGTGCACGTCATAGTTCGACAACGTTTCTCCAGGGCCCGGGGTATACAGCTTCCCAGAATATTAGAGAATTATCAAAGTTGTGAATCTAAGTCCACATACCTTGCCAGGACAATCCAGGCATTTGATGCGCCATTCTGGTGTGCTACTAGCATTCACTTTGCGCAATATCACTTCAAATTTGTCGTTGGGGTATCTTTGTTGCATTGACTGCATCGCAGCAGAGAGCCATTGGGGAGGCTGATACTGGATGATGAGTGGGTAATTATGAGATTGTACACATTCAAAAACAAACTGACCCATGTTTTTGCAGGAGAGGGAGGAGCGGCAGGCGGCGCAGGCGCAGGTTGTGGTGATACTACAGGTTCAGGCGGTGGCGGCTTCGCGGGGGTGACTGGCGCCACTGGAGCAGGCGTTGGTGTCGATTTCGGATGATTCGAACCGTTCAACTTGACTCGTTGGGCCAGTGGAGCCTCCGAGGCGCTCGATGCAGTCGAGATAGGCGACACGCCTCTGTCGTCGTCATGCGGCGATGCAGACCGGCGGTCCAGGTCTCCATTTGAGCGAGTAGGTGTCTGAGGTTCCGAGGCGTCTGCTGCGAGTGTCGCGCGCAGTGCTGAGGCAGCGCCCCTTTTCTTCGAGGCAGCGGCCTTACTTGCATCGTGCTCCTTCTGTTTGATCCCGGAATGGAAGTCTGGATCCGAGTTGTATTCGACGGGCCTCGGTCTCCTATGTCTATGCCAGAATTTGCCTATAAAGGGCGAAAGTTAGAATCGAGATAAGAATAGAACCCATATATCGACCACATACCACAAGTACCGCACTGTGATTTATCGCCCAGAGGTCCTTTTCTTCTGCCAATAGCAATACTCTCAGGACAGCCGCAGTTGGAGCAATGCCAAACACCGTCGATGTAATTGGGATGCTGTCCGTCCACAAACTCTTTTTCTTTCGCCTCTCTTTCGAGCTCCTTGACTCTCTTTGCACTCGGCGCCTTGTTGTTTCGACTATCTTGAGCATTCTGCACTCCAGACGACGAGGACGGAGCACCTTCGCCGTCGCCAGGAGCAGACGGCATAGATGACACGTCCGCCGCTGTGGATGGCGTAGGTGCGACGACGTGAGCTCTGGGGCGCAGGACCGAAGAAGAGTATGAGGGCGGCTTGAACAGGCCCTTGGGTTTCTTGTCCTTGGATGCCGTGGCCTGTGGTGGTGGCTGGGGGGCAGACGGCATCATCTGGGGTGTGAACGCGATTCCGTTCTCCGAAGCAACCATGTTCGCGATCGTGACCGAGGCCGCAGCAGCAGCGGCACGGCGCGACATAGGTGCGCTCGCAATGGCTGCTGCGGCGAGTGTTGCGGCATCGAGCTCGGGGAACCCGATCGCAGGTGTACGATAAGTCCTGATTGGTTCGCGATCTGGCAGTGCAACGCCTCTGCGACCACGCGTGTTTCGTTTTCGGCGCTTGTTGAGATCCTTATCGCGTTCCTTTTCGGTGCGCTCGAGCTCACCGTCGCTGAGGTAGTTGAGCAGGGGAGTGAAGAGGCCGACTTCGCTCGAAGGACGTGCACCAGACGTGAGGCTCGGCAGGAAGGACTGCTTGAGATCGTCGTCCTGCACAGTTGTGCCATCGGAGGGATGCCCGACTAGGAAAAGAGACTTCTGATAGGTTTGCACTTGTTCCCGGATTGAATGGGAAATTGCGGTCCTGCAGAGTGAAAAGCAAACGATGAGGACGGATCAGTATCGAGACATTTGTGGCCGGAGTGGGAAGTTCGAAACGGATATAAGAGGGAGGAAAAAAAGCGACGACATACTTGAACTCGCCCCCAAGACCAAGCTCTTGTGTGTACACCTCTGCGAAGTCCTCGGGCGACGCCATCAGATTATCTAAATCCCACTCGAATTGGTCATCGAGCTTGATGGAACCAACAATGATATCCAACTAGGCAAAAAAAAGTTAACTCAAGTAAACAATGCAAGATCAAGAGAACACACCTTGATCAGAATCCGCATGTCCTCATGCATGGCCTTATCGTCGAGTTTGATGTCCTCCAAGCTGAAAG